CTGAGCACCACCGAGTTCACACAGGAGAAAAGCCATTTATCTGTGGAGACTGTGGGAAGGAGTTTTCAGCGTTTTCCTCTTACAAACGACACCAGAGAATTCACACTGGGGAAAAGCCATACAAGTGTGACTACTGCAGTAAAACATTCAGAACCACAACAGTACGCACAGTTCACCATCGGATCCATACCGGAGAGAAGCCATTTGTCTGTGAAAATTGTGGAAAGGCTTTCAGACAGGTACCAAATCATCGGAAACACATTCAAACCTGCGGAGAACCTGGTCTGAAGACGCAACATCTGGAACAAACGGAATGAGACAGAGCTGAGGCTGCATCATGTGACCCTGATGTGAGTCTGATTTGCAGCACAGACAGACGGGACAGAGTTCTCAGTCCTGTCTCTTCCCGCTTCTGTCCCCATGAACATCAATTCCACTATTGTAATTAATATCATTATTCAACTGTAAATTTGGACAGGAGCTGCGCACGCGCAATTGCGATGTGCTTTTAGGGTCTCAGCACACAGACAACTCTTTCCTGCGCACACAATGAAAATCCGGCGTCCTGTGCCTCCAGCACAAATGACGCAGGCGCATATTTCAACAGTGTATGGACCACAGTGGATCTGTGCAGGCTTCATTCTCTAAATAGAAAAAGTCAATGACCATAAGGTACACTGTCCGCGGGTGCGGGAGAAGCGCCCGACACAGCAGTATGAAGCTGCATTTGATCCAGAACAGGGCTTGGACCAGCAGCACCCTGCACACTGTGAACTCGCGCACTTGGTCTTGTCTCGGACTTGCGAGCACTACACCAGCTGCAGTGTGTGAGCTGAGCCACAAACACACCTCACGCACTTATGTAGGGAAGACTAGGTCTGGTCAGACCAGCGTCCCCTTCAGTTTAAAACAAAGTTGCCTATTGCTGAGTAAAGTTGTTCTTGTGGCAATGATGACTATTATTATTTTAGATAATTATAGGTCTATGGATCTTATAGCCATTATGACTAAATAAAACCATGTATACTATGTATTAATATACTCTAATTGGTCTATATTAAATATGAATAGACAAAATCCTCTTTTTGTTTTTAGTGCAATTCACCAAATATGTTCCTCAATCTACTTTAATTCACCATCTACAAAAGTCTTGAATCATGATCAGGTGAATATTGAACCGAATCATGGTTGGTTGAAGCTGGAGTAACTTAAATAAATGGGATCAGCAGGTGTGTACGGGAGGCGTGTACGGGAGGCGTGTACGGGAGGCGTGTACGGGAGGCGTGTACGGGAGGCGTGTACCTGTATTCAAATGTGAATGGTTTTCAACAGAGATCACTCTGAGTTCCACGTGCCGCTCAGGGGGTTTGTGTTTTTGACCTGACCCATGAAAAATTAGAGGGAACATTGGACCTGAGTGTGCATATATGAACAGAAGTGTAGCCTTGATCTTATAAAACATTTTCTTTCCTATTTAAACAAATCTGATGTTTAATTTTGCAGTGTTTTAATGCATCCATGCTCTCTATATCTTCAGAAATGTTGCTAATACGGTTTGCTAAGGTAGGCTTCTCCCGCAAATTAAGTCATCTGAATCCTTATATGGCTCATATCTGGAATTACAAAGACAATAACACTATATAAGCACCAGGATGACAAAGCACTAAACCAGATATTTAATTCTAAAATTGTGAGTGTGACACAAACGGTACTGAGCTAGAGCAGTTTACTTAAAATTACATGTAAGTCAGTAGGAGCCAGACCAAAAAAAAAAAAGCAGGACAAACTTCAGAAATCAGGTGCCCCTCGAGGTTCCTAGGCTCTCTGAATTTCAAATAAATGGTCTCTTTTAGTGTCTCCAGTGTTTCCTCTGGATGAGCCCTCTGCACTAGGGGTCTTGATCCTGAACCTGGTGGAGGTCTGGAGCCTCCTCTCTTCTGGGTCCTGTGGGGGTCTGCCCGAAGACCTAATGGAGCACTGGAGCCTCCTCTCCTCTGGGTCCTGTGTCGTCCTCTGTGGCTGCAGGAGGTACTGCTCCTGGTGCAGATGGTTCCTCTGTTGGTGCTTCCCCTTAAAAATACAGATGACTTTGATTCTGTGTTCTATGATCTCTCTGTTAGGGTAAAAGAGCAGTTTGAATTAGTTATGTGTAATCATAGTTACCAATAAAATATATTTCTTAATTTTGATATATCCCAAGAGGTAGGGTGCAATGCCCTCAGTAAGGCCAAGTTGGGGAAGGCCATGGGAGTGGAGGAAATTCCAAATGAAGTGCTAAAGTCCCCACATCTTAGGAACCTGCTTTTTGGACTATTTACTTTCTGCTTTGAAATTGGGATCGTACTCTCCACATGGTACAAGGCAATAATTAAACCTATCCCCAAATCGGTTAAAGATGATCCCAGAGTACCTCTTAACTACAGGGGAATCAGCCTTTTAAGTACTGTCTATAAAATCTATGCTAGTATTCTAAATACTAGATTGTTACTTTTTGGAAATTACGCACTGTTTGGTAGATGAACAAAATGGATTTCAAAAACACAGGGCGTGTATTGATCATATTTTTGCTGTCTCAACAATCGTTAGAACTAGACTAACTGAAACTTTGTTTGTTTTGTGGACTTTAAGAAGGCTTTTGACGAGGTGAATAGAGATTTGTTATGTCTGAAGCTTCTCCAGGCTGGGGTAGATGGAAAGTTCTATCAGGCATTTAAGTCCTTGTACGCAGACTGTGTGGGATCTGTGCAGGTGAGTGATGAACAGACGGGGTGGTTTCGCATCCTCTTTTGGGTAAAACAAGGAGACGTTTTGTCCCCAAGCTTGTTCTCTTTATTTATAAATGATTTGGCTCTTGAAATCCAACAGTTAGGGGTTCACCTGGACAGTATGACTGTGGGTCTGCTGCTCTGTTGGCTGAGACAGAAGAGGACTTACAGATCATGTTAAATGTGTTAAAAAACTGGTGTTCTAGATGGAGACTTGCCATATAAATCAAGCAAAAACTAAAATAATGCATTTTAGGAAAAGAGTCACTCCTCGTAGTATCAACATTTTTACATTTGGTAATGTCAATCTTGAGTATGCAGGCCAATATAAATATCTAGGATTTGTGTTTGATGAATTTATGAACTTCAATAAAGGAATCAAACTCCTATCTGCGTCAGCCAGCAGTGCTCTGGGTTCTGTAATAAACTAAAGTATTGTAAAGCACTGGGTTATGGAACATATTCTCAGTTGTACATGGCATGTGTGTCTCCTGTTTGCCGCTTTGAACTATGCTGCTGGTGTGTGGGGGGGCCACGCACGTTCAACCTTGGATGCTGTTGAAAACTGAGCAATCTGTTATTTTCTGGGGGTACATAAGTTTGTTCCTGTTTTGGCAGCACAGGGGGACATGGGCTGGGTTCCTGGTACAGTTCAAAGGAAATGTGAAATGGTTAGGTTATGGAATAGAATAATGAATCTGTCTGATAATAGGTTAACAACAAAAATCTTTATATGGAGTAAAGCTATGTCCCCCTGGGCTGCTGAGGTTCGTGCTGTATTTGCTGAGGTCCATCTCCAGTATGTATTTCATAATAATCTGCCCTGCAATGTCAACAAAATTAGAACAAAATTAATGTCAAAATTTGAAGAAGGATGGTTGAGTGTCATTCTGGCAAAAACCAAAGTTAAGAACATACATACAAATGAAGGATGTATATGAAGCAGAATTCTATGTTAAAGCGAATCTGACAAGAAATCAAAGATCTCTGCTCAATTGCAAACTGGAACCCTCCCCCTGTAACCTGGCAAGAGCCAGATTGATGATTGTGTAGAACTCTAACGCGTTCTCCACGTGTTTGTGAACTCACAAATACCGCGAGAATTCAGCTTGCAGGCAAGGTTACTCCCCCTGGCCTTAGAAACAGAAAGGTTTACTCAGACTCCCGAAGAAGGCCAACTTTGTAAACTTTGTGACTTAGGAGAGGTTGAAAATGAAACGCATTTTGTTTTGTATTGTCCTTTGTATGGCGATCTTCGTAATCTTTTGTATAGTGGTCTGTTTGTTAAAAAGCCTGAATTGTTTTGGAGCAGTGATGATGATGAGAAGCTAACATTTTCGTTTAATTCCAATGTGTTTAAATTGGCTACTTATGTTGGTAAAGCCTGGAAGCGCAGGCAATCCTGTTTATTTTAATAAGTGGTTTTTGTATCCTGTCAGTCATCTGATCCTGTTCTTAATATTGGTGTCTTATAAGCCCATGAAAGGGCTGGGCATACAGTTGTATGCAAGACACAATAATAAATAAATATTAATTCATTCCTCAGATGCAGTCTGCCTCATGTTTCTGTAATTTTATCTCTAAATGTGTTTGTCTGACAGACTTCTCTGTGGGTGGGCTGGGATGGTCTAGTTGCTGGGGTGATGGGTGATTAATTTAACTGTAAAGCACTTTGTTACAAATATATAAATAAAGTTTGACCTGATATTTTTCTGCTTACAATTCTTTAATTTCTAAATTTAGTCAAATGGAGCTATGGTTTCAGTGAAAACTTTTTCTATTTCTTTGTTGTCAAAGCCGCAGTGAGGAGCACGAGGAGGAGAGTGGGATGTAGTTTGGGTGCCTTTGATTAATTAAGTGATCAATGTTGTTTTGTTTTATGAAACTTATCTATTCATCGGCTTTACACAGAATTTTGACATTCGGATCCTTCACTCCATACACGGTGGAGATGAACTATTACTGTAGCCACAGCTGCCCTGGGGCACATCAACAGTAGCAAGGCATCCAATATGTGCTGCCCATCGGCCCCTATCACCAACCATTCTCACATACCAGACTCATTCTAAAGTGGGTGAAGTATCTTGCCTATGGACAGTTTGGTACTTTACAGCCCTAGAGTTCCCAGAGGTCTCCCATCACAGTACTAACCAGGACCTTTGGTTCAGAGTTCTGACGGGATCGACGGAAAATGATCAGGGGGAGGCGTAGCTTACACTCACAGTGGAGCGCTGTATGGTACAGAAGAAGCAATGGGACAAAGGATAACTTCATCAATACGTCAATACATTTCTCCACTTGACAATTCCCCAGCTTTAAGAAAAACACCCTTCACTAAAAGGACAGGTAGATTTGTTTCTGAAACGAGACGAGCTGAAAACAACACAAACCATACTTTCTGGACTATTTATATAAGCCGCACCACCTATCTTTTAAACAAAAATCAATGTTGTCCACATATAGGCTACACTTGAATAAAAAATGCAAAATCAAGTATTTGTTTTGAGTTTTAACCCTTGAGTTGTCTTCATTCTCTGAACACTAAACACAAAATATAAAGCATAATACTTTAACGTTAAACTCATTCTATTTGTTTTGTTCTTTTCACAAAAAGAGAGATTGTATTTAGAAAATGCCACTTGTTTTTATATATATATGTACTTACTTTCTCCTGACTGACTCTGGAGAAAGTTTCAGAAGTATGTTTTTTTTTGTTATACTGTGAATGATAATATTCAGATGGTATAGAACAAAAGACCACACTACAACAATAATGATGTCACATCAATTTGTGGATTGTTAACCCTCCTCTGCATTAAACCAATCCCTCGTTTGTCAGGACCTAATAGATTGATGGTCAGGACTCAGAAGCAGAGGCCACTAGTGTAGCGCCTGGGGGAGGTTTGGAAAAATGTCAGCTTGAAGCGACTTTAAATCACTGTAGTGGGTCATGGGTTTAACCACGTTCCAACACAGTACAGTCAAAAACCTGCAGTAGCTTTTAGAACCCACCATGATGCAATTCAGGCATTTTTATGTTGACTGAAAATTTTCATGCTTTAAAGGCCAACATTTATGTGTACTATTCTTTAAAAAAAGTTATTTTCATGATCTGTGTGGAACGAGTTGTACTACAAGAGATTTCAAGGTCCACAGCGGAATCCACGCTGGTGAAAAGCCTGTCAGCTGTCAGCACTATTTCGTAAGTTCGTAAGACACAAACACCCGAAATGGCTCCATCTTTTGGTAGTTTGCCGGAACTGCACCAGATTTGTCAACATTTCTGGACAATGTTCATCCCGCTCCCTATTGTTCCAATGGCTCTTATGTGTTTTTTCTTTTTCTTTTTTAGTGTTTTTGAACTGTTTGATTTTCTGAACTGTGTAAGTTGGTCTCTAAACTGCTGTGAGTTAGAGCTATACATAAATACATTAGATGGAAGCCTAGTTTGGTCACGTGACACGAATCAAACACGAGCTCGAATCCTGGTGCTTCATAAACTCGAGCAGAGGGTATAATAGATCCATGGTTAGAGTATTAACTCATAATCTGATTTCTGAAAACCTGGCAACCGCGTTGACGTCAGACCCAGCGGACGCGCAGACATCGTGAGGAGAGACAGGAGTGAGTCAACAGTCTTTAAACCTCACGTATTCACCACGAACGCTATTGTTGTCATGACGATGAGAGAGACACGTGTGAGCCGCGTGGGCCTCAGATATTCCGGTGTGTCTGTGGTGTTCCCAGTCGGAGGATAATGCTAATAATGGTCGTTAGCTCTGTTGTGCTAATACTCCTCATTACTCTGAAGCTCATTTTCTCCAATTTCAATCTCGAATTAATCTGGATTTATATAGAATTTCTAGAATCGTCAGCTCGCAGTACAAACCGCCTTGTGTAGAGGGCCCTTTTACCTTACTTGGTTAACTTTAGTCTCTGTAGGTTTAGTGATGAACACCTATTATTTTCGCACACACAACTTTTTTAATTGGTTCGAAACATCTCCCTAAATACATGTGAACAAATCGGACCACAACATTTGGTCTTTGTCATATTAGAAAGCGTGATATTTTACACATCGAGACATAATTGGCTGAAGCCTGGGACTCTGATTTGAAAATGTCACGTGAATAATACAAACGTGTGTGAGATCAAGGAACTACATAATGTTGTTTGTTTCAAAATTAGTTAAACAAATCGTGTCCACAGCCTCCTGACCTGTAATGGACGCCTGACAATTGTCTGGCAAGTGTAATGTATTTAATTACTAAATTGCTAAGTTACTAAAGGCATGTGGTATGGAATAGACCATTCCTTACTATTTTTCTAACAGCTTTTCACATGACCAGAAAATACTTCACCTCTGGGTTAAGTTTTGACTGGCTTTCGTCTTGAGTAATCAATGACTGTATTTATCACCAGTATTTGTCCACTGTCTGTGCAGATTCCAGATGGCCTCGCTGAGTCCTGGTCCCCTGAGTCCTGGTCCCCTGAGTCCTGGTCCCCTGAGTCCTGGTCCCCTGAGTCCTGGTCCCCTGAGTCCTGGTCCCCTGAGTCCTGGTCCCCTGAGTCCTGGTCCTTGTCTGAATCCAGAGACTCCACAGGTGAAAGAAGAACCAGAGGAACCAGGCCTCAAAAAGGAAAAACAGCAGGAAGAGTACGACACACACAGTTTATTTTTTCTGGAACTTTATTGATATCTTTCTATAAATGCTTTATTACAGCGTCAGTTAAATTGACTTCACTTAAATCTTCAATGTAAGGCAACAAAAGCCCTGTCTCCTGTTATTCAACAACAACACCAAACATTAGAACAGCAGAATATAATATAACAAATAGAGGAGGCGATACATTTGTGAAATAGTTTGTGCACAAGATAGAGAAGCATGGAGAGTGATTGTGAATCCATGAACTGATGCAACCCTGGCGGGTGCACTGCCTTCATGAGGCAAGGGGGTTAACCAGTATTTTCTGTAGGGGCCCCCTGGCTGAGAACCAATTTGGAAGCCCGGGCGGCTGAGAGGTGGTGTGAATGTGGATGAATGAGCATGTACTCATCAGTGGTGTGGTGTAAAGTAGTGATGGGTGAAATTAATCGATGCTTTGAAGCGTGTGTCGAGTAATCAGTGCAGCCTCACAGCAAAACGTGGTTTGGAGACGTCAGCGATGACGTTTGAATCGTCCTGAACCGTGGTGTCATTGGAAACATCAAAGGCACATGTGTAGTTTGTTTGGTGGAACAGGCAAAAAGAAAAGGTATTCCCCAGTTTGGGAATACTTATCACTTCCAATAATGTAGAAATGGGTATAAGAATTATTTAGCATGTATTATTAATCTCACAAGGGAGAAATTGACTATTGCAACTCGAGGGGCTCACATAGTATAAACTTTTTTGTGCTCATGTTGGGTTGCCACGGGTGAAGTCAAAATCCAGCCACTTTGGAGAAACTTAATCAAAACAAAAAGACTATTTAATATCAATTTTTTATTTCTCTTTTTATTTATGAGCAATTCTCTTCTAATACTGTGTTTTGTGGTGGTCCTAGCACATTGTACATTTGTGTATTTGATAGTGCTGTAATGAAAATAGAGCAATTGTACATTTTGGCCATAAATTAAATGGAATAAGTTAATCATTATAAAGCATTGGTACATGTTCCAGCGCTGCGGCTGTAGAACCAGGACTCAGGAGGCCCCCATGTGTGGAGGGGGTGCAAGCCCATGAGTCTGGGCCAGGGGCGACCAGTTCACAGGTGTAGGTAAAAGAGTCTGGGTTCTGGGGTCACATCAGAACGCCATGAAATAGATAACAGGACATTTTCTGCAGTTTTTCCTCTCAATTACTTTTTTGATGTTTTTCTGTCACATTGCGTTCTTTCAAAGGACGTGGCTTTAATTTTCTAATGGAAGGTTTGATATTGAACAAAAGATCACAAATAAATGGTTAACATTTATTGACCTCTTGTGTTTCTGGCAGATCTACAAAGTCCTTCTCCTGTGATCAATGTGGAAAGAGTATGATTTCCATGTCCCACCTCAAGAGACACAACCGAATTCACACAGGAGAGAGACCCCACAAGTGTGATCAATGTGGAAGGAGCTGTCGCTTTGCTTCTGAACTCAGAAAACACTACAGGACTCACACTGGAGAAAGACCATACGAGTGTGGCCTGTGTGGAAAGAGTTTTTCTACAGCAGAAAGTCTCAAAGTCCACGACAGAACTCACACTGGAGAAAAACCATACAAGTGTTTTCTGTGTGGAAAAAGTTTTTCTCAGGCAGGAAAGCTCACGCTCCACAGCCGAATCCACACTGGAGAAAATCCATTCAGCTGTGACGTTTGTGGTAAACATTTTGGACAAGAAGGTAATCTCAAAGATCATAAGAAGATCCACACTGGAGAGAAATCGTTTCAATGTGACGACTGTGGAAAGACATTTAGGAGCAAAGCTCAGCTCTCGCAACATCAGCGTCTTCACACAGGAGAGAAACCTCACAAGTGTGACCAGTGTGGAAAGACTTTTACACAGTTAAATAGCCTCACAGTGCACTACCGACATCACACTGGGGAAAAGCCGTACAGCTGTGACTTCTGCAGTAAAACCTTCAGAACTGCGCCGGAGCGCACCGATCACCATCGGACTCACACCGGAGAGAAGCCGTTTGGCTGTAACGTGTGTGGACAGAGCTTTTCTACAGGAGGAAATCTCAAAAAGCACAAAAGAATCCACACTGGAGAAAAACCGTACAGCTGTGATGTGTGTAATCGGAGTTTTACAGAGAGTGGTTCTCTCAAAGTGCACAAGAGGATCCACACTGGAGAGAAGCCATTTGTCTGTGTAAAGTGTGGGCAGGCTTTTACCACTGAGCCGCCTCTTCGTCGACACATTGAAACCTGTGAGAACATGGCTCCCGTCTGAATATGAGAATGGGACATTTTTTGCGGCTCGTTAAAGGCGCTATACCCGTTTCTGCAATGTTTGAATGTTTAGCACCGCCCCCCAACTCGCTCAATGGCTTCTCATTTCCCCTACGCTCTCATAACACAGAGCCACCTAGTTTAATTTGCGATCTGATACATATGCTAACATTAGCATTTAGCGCAACTTCTTGTAAGCTGTGCAACAATCACTGATGAAATGGCACTAAAGTAACGCACTGCTAACACAATATATAAGTAAAAGAATACCGCTAGTTTCGCGTCCGAATGTATTAATTTAAAACCTTAGAATATATTCTAATATTTAATTATAATTTGTTATAGAGCTCCTCAAAGCAGCAGCAGCAATTCTTCCGATCATTTTTTCTTGATAACAGAACTCTCAAACCAATAATGACCGAAGCCCCAATGCAACCTCTGTTTGTAATTCAGGTGTGTAAAATACTGCCATTACTCTGCAAGTACAACAAGCTATCAGCGCCTGTCACTACACACTTGTCTGTGTAGAGAAGCTAGCGGAGCTAGCCACGCTTAATAAACAACTACATATCTATCAATCAACACCATTAAACGTCAATCGGACAATACAGTATACATATACATCCTTAACACACATGTACGGATGATTTCACAATTTGCTGTTAACGTTTTCATGACAAAAATACTGTTTCAATGTGACAAAAAGCGATTGCGAAAAACCCGGAAGTTACCATGAAACAACTAGCTAGCTTAGCTGTTACCTGCCTAGCACGTCCTGGTGAAACCTTTGGGAGCTAACTATTTTATTTGCAGTCATTAAATACATTTCGAATTACAAGGGTTGTCTAATATTTGTTCACATTTTTTTATTCAATTATTTTGTTCATAATTTTTTATTTTAGAATTATATTCGAATTTTGAAGTCCTGGTGTTAAGCAGCGCTGTAGAGGCTAGAGGACGCAGGCTGTAGAGGCTAGAGGACGCAGGCTGTTCGCTGCTCGTTCTGTGAGCGGAGGAGAAAGAGCGGCCCGCTCAGACTCTACTCAGCACTTTTCACTGCTTGTAATTCTTACACAGCTGAATCAATGACCTCAAGTTTTCAATTAAATGATGTATGATGATACAACTTGTATGTAGTAAAAAGCATTTTTATGAACTACTTAGAAAAAAAATCGGGTATAGCTTCTTTAAATCGGGGAGAATAGGTTGGGCTGACGGTCTACATTTTTATTCTTAACTAAATTTATTAAAGTGTAAATTTACTAGTCCTGGCTCAACTTGGTTCTCCACCAGAGAAGAGTCACTGCTAGTTACCAAAGCAACATAAGCCTGTGATAGTGCTCACTTGAAAAAACTATAGGCTTTTCTTGTGATGGAATATGCCACCTCTCCCAAAAGCAACAAGCCAGTTATGAAAACAGCTTTTTGGAATAAAATAATGATCTTTGTAAATGCAGATTTCTTTTACCAGGATTTCTTTCTAATACTGCTTTTTACTGGAAATATCAAATAATGAGGAGCATTCAAGATAATTAGAACGTCACGCAGGCGACATAAGCGCAACAAACCTGTTTTGTTGTGATGTTAACTTGCAGCTAGACTAAAGCAGAGACTTCACGCAGATGAAGTTTTGAGGTGTGAGCAATATTATTATAGATCCATGGGTGTAAGGAGGCCGGGTGAGGGGCACATGCGCAGTGCCTGGACATGGCATCATTAACCACGATACTGTATAGTCATGACAATATGACAGAGATGCACACAAGTCTCTGACCCGCAAGTCCAAGTCAAGTCCAAGTCCCTAGCCCAGGAGTCCAAGTCAAGTCCAAGTCTCTGGACCCGCAAGTCCAAGTCAAGTCCAAGTCCCTAGCCCAGGAGTCCAAGTCAAGTCCAAGTCTCTGGACCCGCAAGTCCAAGTCAAGTCCAAGTCCCTAGCCCAGGAGTGCAAGTCAAGTCCAAGTCTCTGGACCCGCAAGTCCAAGTCCATGCCCTGGAGTCCAAGTCAAGTCCAAGTCCCCGGACCCGCAAGACCAAGTGAAGTCCAAGTCCCCTGATCCGCAAGTCCAAGTCAAGTTCAAGTCCCTGCATGTCCAAGTCTCATTTCCTACGCATTAAAATTATGGCCAATACCATTTAAAATGGACTAAAATATAATAATTAATTGTACTGCACTGCTACAAAAAAACGTTTATTTATACGGTATGCAGAAGCACGTACTGTAGAGGATGTGTGCAGTTTCAACAATTAAAATAAAGTGCAATAGTCTATGTTACAGAGTTACAAACGTGACTACAGTGAGGGCACAGAGCAAAACTATTGTTTGTTACAGGATGACAATGGGACATTTAAAAAAAGTCTGAAATACATAACGTCAGCAATGACTGTCATTAAATCTGTTCACTGCATTTTACTGTTGGCACAACCAACATGAGCTGTTAATGCGAGGGAAAATTTACGTACCACAGCTTTAATTTTACGAGTTTAGGAGGAGACACGGGGAGACATGGAAACGTCAGGAGGCTCTATCATCCAGCTCTGTTTATTGCAGAGGTGTATAAAGACACGCACATAACAAGCAGAGAATGGTCCTATGCGCACGTGTATGGTCCTGTGCGCGCGTATGGTCCTGTGCACGTGTATGGTCCTGGGAACATTATGACCACAGGCTGCGCGCTGCCGTTGTCAGAGCGGCTCACAGCTCAACTGATGCATAAAGTGATGAGCCAACGCGTGCACTCCCGCACAGTCAAGACCCGCGGTCGCGGCCGAACAGCGCGCACAGCCGAGGAGCGTGCACAGCCAAAGAGAGCGCACCGCCATAGAGGGCGCACAGCCAAGGAGCGCGCACGGCCAGCGCGCACAGGACAGCGCGCACAGCCAAAGAGCGCGCTCCCTTATAAGGCATGTTTCACACCGCACACAAATTCGTGTACGAATTCGTCTTCGAAACCCGCTCGCGTGCATTCGCAAGCTGCGCTTCAAGTCGCGTCCTGTTGTGCAAATGAGAAAGCTCTTCTGTGTACAGACCGGCGCTGAGGCGGCGCGCAGGGAATCGGCGCGCGCCGCTGCCGCCTCCGCTCCTGAAACCAAAAATGGAACTCGAGCGCATTTTTTCCGCGTGTAGCGGCTTTCAGCACGAAAATATTCAAAAAATAACTTTTATAAAGCAATTTCACGTTTATCTAATCTCATTATTGTAATGCATAAGTACATATAAGTTTATTCTTTTAATTACACAATTTTCCATGTCATACTTTTTTTTATGCATAAAATATAATTGTAACATATATTATATATATAATAATAATATATATATATATATATTATAATTATAACCTAACCCCCATGGAGATCCAGGCCTTCCCCACACCTTATAATTAACTATGATAATGAAACGACAATCAAAATAGGCTATAAGATACATTATAAGGAAATGTTAGCAATTTATTTAAGGTCTACATGTGCTATTTTGATTTCTGACCTGTTATTTCAGACAACATATGTAAATATACAACATGTTTATTAGTTTGGAGTACAATACTACTCCTTTTGTGCGTGCTACTCGTCTAGGCGCTTCGCCCACGCTCGGCGTCAGTCTGAATACATGCGCTCGCCGCGAGGTAGTTCGGCTGGAAAGGGCGCTCGGCTCTGCGCTCGGCGTGCGGTGTGAAACTGGCCTTACCAGCCTGTGAAATGGTTGGATCTGGAGCGTCAGGACTCGCAAGTCCGAAAACAACGAGTCCGAGGCAAGTCCGAGTCTTTAGGGGAGGAGTCCGAGTCAAGTCCCGAGTCTTTAGGAGACCAGTCCGAGTCAAGTCCCGAGTCTTTAGGGGACGAGTCCGAGTCGAGTCGCAAGTCTCTAAAAATAGCGACTTAAGTCCCCATCTATCCAATATGAAGCCCCGTGAAGCATTGAAGGTTTGCAGCCTATTACTCGGCCCATGGCTCGAGGTGATTCGTGCTCCACTACGCCATCATGAGGACAAAAATATATATAACACGCTTAAGTGCTTACAATGAATGATGGGGTCTAATAAATATTAGTCTATGGACTAAACATATTGTGTTTTATAATATGTTTCATGTACTATGAACTATTTGAGGCTTTCAGTCAATTGTGTTGAAACAACAAACATCCAAAGCAATGCAGTTTTACAAAAAAGTTTTTCATTGAGGGAAAGAACCCCATTAGCTGGATTAATTAAACACAACAAACGATTTATTCCCAGAAATTAAATATATTTACTTCGCAAGTACAAAGCTGGCTTTGTCTCAAGCGTGATTCGAACCAACTATTTTCGGCTTCTGAACTTTGCAGCTACAGACTACGCCGCGCAACTATTACGTAATTAGTGTTTCAACTATGGATCTATAATACTGTCGGGTTCAAAGCATAGACTGTAAAATATTAAATTCAAACACATCATTATGTTAAACAAAAGAATAAGCAAACCTGGATATATGAAATTGTGGTTGTGCTAAAGTGAGACGTTTTTAATTGTATTTCATATGAAGTAGATTAGCTTACTTAAGAACAGGACTGCTCCACATCACGCACACAGAGACAGACGGATAAAGCCGCGGATCACAAAGCACTTGTCAAAGCGATGGACTCTCCGAACTCACTCTCTGAAGCTCCTTGTCACTCCCGTATTCGTCCCGGAAACCGGATTCGTCCGGAAGTTCAGTTTGCGCATGTCAAAAAGTTTAACATGTCCTTAAGTGGTGACTGGTTAAGTTTAGGCGTCTGATTAAGATGGTTGAGTTTAGGGTTGAGGCTGGGTTGGGGTTATTTTATGGGAATGGCTGGTTAAGTTTAGGCATGAATAGGTAGTTTTTTTATATTTATTTCCGCTTCCGTCCAGATTCTGTGACGTAATCTACTGCTGCGTATGCTCATTGGATCAAACTGAACGTCCGGACGAATCCGGTTTCCGGGACGAATACGGGAGTGATACACTCCTCAATGAACCGTGACGTGGTGCGGCCGCTACGCGAGGCTTCGAACGTCACCTCATACGTCACCCACACCCAAGCTTAAAAAACTCCCTTTGACTACTCGGTACCATGGATCTATAATAACGCTCAGTACCTATTATTATAGATACATTCTCGGTACATGCTTTGAAGACTCGGCACGCTCAGCACATCACTACGATACTGGTCTGCGCATGGATCTAGAGTCCGTGCTGGACGATGACAAACACCATGGATCAAGTTTAATGGTGGAGACACGCGAGTACAATGCTTTAACCACATTCTCCTCACTACGATTTGGTTTGAGCCTCGGGGATAACCATCCTAAAGCTACTGTCAGAGGCTAATGCTGATGCTAGTCTTTAGTCTGACTGATATTGTTTAGGGTGATGTGGGCTTAAACAAATTTCTCAATGTATTGATTTCTTTAAAAAGTGTTTTATCCCTTTACACAAAATGATGTGCAATGTTTTGGTAACCAGGGCATCCATGGATAGAAAAATCTGGAGCTATTTTTTTTATCTTTGCAAAACATGCTCAAATATATGAATGTTACAGTAAGGATCAAATTAATAGTACTTCCCAGACTGCACCTAAAACACGGGAAGAACACATCAAACAAGGCTTGCTCAATAGTTAAACGGAACATGACAACATGAAAAAGCGAAATCTCCAAAGTCATCGCCTAGGCAAGGCAAGTTTATTTGTATAGCACAATTCATACACAAGGCAATTCAAAGTGCTGAACAAAACAAGAAAGTGTTAGTATTAGATAGCAATATGGCCTACGTGCAGGACTGTACAAGGACTCTGATTATTTTGACTATGATGTGACTGTCTTTGTGTGACACGTATGTCTTTCGATGTGTGACGTGACAATGACTATATAAACTGTGTACTGACTCCATTCTGTCTGAGAGAAGGAAACAATGGAAACCACTGGAACTTGAGAGAAACTTAAATAAACTTCCAGAGTTTGGCGCACCACGATCAGTCTCTGTCTGCTTCATTCCTGACAGATTTGGTGGAGGACGCGCGGCTCAGTGTGCGCCATTCTCTGGTTGTTTTGAGGGAGTTTCCTTTGTTTTCTTTTCCTCGGCATGAGAGACCGGCATGCTGTGTCTGGGAGCGGAGATTCCAGCAGGCTGGAAGAGCTGTTCCTGGATGCTTCTTGTCGCTTCTTTCACTTGCGTTTAAATTGAATTTTCCGACGCGGAAAAGAGTTGGCAGACCTCTCTGGCAGTCCGTGCATGCACCTGTTTGACAAGAATAAGGTAAGCAGACACCTTTTTATATGTAAAGTTTGCATAATTGGATACTAGCTAAATTTTGGTCTGTTTTTGAGGTCTGTCGAACTCTCTCCAAATTGTGTTCCCATAAAGTGAAGGATCCAAAAGTGTTGGCCATAAAGTGAAGGATCTTTAGTGAAACCATGGTGTAAAAATAAAAGCAATTTAATAAAAAGGGAAATGTGAAAAAGAGGCCTTTGTTACAAAAGCTTTGAAATTGACGAATTTCAGGCTGATAAATGACAAAAGTACATAAGCAACAATATTTCAGTGATCACGGTTTAAATTACATACAGAAAAAGGGAGTTTTTGTTTTTTAGTTTGTTTTTGGCGTGAACAGAGTTCACCGGAGAATGCAGAGTGAGCTATGGCTCCCTCCCCTCCTTTTTGGGGTGGGGGCCTGCTTGGGGGTCTGTGTGTGTGTCGGATTTGGTTTTGATGTTGGCTGGGTTCCGCTTAGCTTGGTGAAACTCAGGCGGGCAGACTTTATATCTTATCTTATCTGTGGGGTGTATGTGTGTGTGTGTGTGTGTGTGTGTGTGGAGTGTGTGTGTTTATGGGTGTGGGTGTGTGTGTGTGTTTATGGGTGTGTGTGTGTATGTGTGGGTATAGACCATAGACTGTAAACATCATAGTATAGTCCCCCCCCTCCTATGTGCCCTTCTGGGTTTCTTCTTTGGCCCCCTGTATCTCCAACTACATATTGTTTGTAATCTCTGTCTACAATGTATCTGAACTAGTCCTTTTCTTTGTTTCTATTATTTTTTCTGTATATGTGTTTGTCTGCAATAAAATTAAAAAATAAATAAAATAAAATAAAAATAAAAATAAAAAATAAAGTGAGCTATGAGAGTTTTCGTGAGTTATTTACATTTTTTGTCGTGGCTCGGGCTGTATCCAACAGTTGTTTTTTTTGTTTGTTTTTTTAGAAAGAGATTTTGAGTTTAAATTAGTTTGCTACCTCGATAAAATAGAAGCGTAAGGGAAATTAAAGAGTAAGAGTGCCTTTTGTTACAAGTGTTGAAAGTGGCCATTTCTAGACTTGGATGACAAAAGTATAAACTACAACATCAGTTATATTTGCTTAAAAAAGGAATCTTGAAAGTTCTTCTTTCTGTTTTTGCATTTTTGCTAAAACACTACTTTCTGCCTGTGTGTGTGCGCGTCTGTTTGACGGGAACCCCCCCCCCCCCCGCCCTCGCTGTTGCTGCGCTGCTGCTCTGATTTAAAGGGGAGCTACTGCGTTTAGGATTTTGGCTTTTCATAGTTTTTATTCCGTTAAATTTGCGAAATTTGCGATTGAACATTGTGTTATGACACAGTTAAACGTTTTAAACACCATTTAGTAAACAGAAGTTTTGAATATTATATGTTTTTTGAAATCCAAAGATTAGTACAAAAAAGCTTTGCTTTTCTTTTTAAATCTGCTGCTTATTTTTTGAGTCCATTATTGTATCTCTGATATATTTCATAGCTGTTTGTGAGAATTATTTTTCATGTATTTTTTTATTTTAGTTACAAAAGCCATTTTAGTTTACAAAATTTAAATTAGAATCTGTGTTAAAAGTGATTATTGATCATAGACTTTGTCTAAAAAGAAAGAGGGAATTAGGATTAGCTGTAAAAGTATTATATTGAGTTAAACTCTACCCAATTCACCCAATTCACATTGCAAGCGGTGACTTTTTTGTTTTGACTATGCACCTGACCTTGCTCCTGCTGCTGCTGCTGCTCCTGCCCGGAGGAGGCTCTGACAAAATTGAGTTTTATTAAACCAAATCCAGTTTAGCTGGAGCTAAATCTTATAATCTTTTGTTTGATTTCAAGTTTTGTTTTAATGTTTTTCAAAATTAATTTTCATTTTATAGAGATTTTTCATAATTTAATTTCATTTCATGGCGTCTTTCAAGAAACCCAAGGATGCATAGATAATTAAACACACAGTACAAAAGTACATAATACATATTTTAAAGTTGAAGGTTTTTTGAGATTTGAGTCTTGTTTTTTATTAAGAGAGTTTCTGGTCTTAAAATGTCATCATTAGTAAGATGATAATAAGTAATCTTTATTTATATAGCGCATGTTGGAAAGCCAAGAGCGCTCCAAAATTGTTTAGACTTTAGAGAGAAAAAATATCTCATTCACATACTGATATCTGTTGTTTTTAATTTGACTATAAGGTTGTGTTCCAGAACCAAGGGCACACACTGTACAGGGTCACTGGACTGCGGGAGTGGACACTGAGAGCTCAGACCACAGGAGCCCAGCAACGCCCACCCAGGCACAGGTCACAGATCAAAGACGGCACGGTGGCTGAGTGGATAGCACTCTCGCCTCTCAGCAAGAAGGTCCTGGGTTCGAATCCCGGTCGGACCAGGGCCTTTCTGAATGTTACAGTAAGGATCAAATTAATAGTACTTCCCAGA